TCGGACTGAGCTGTGACCGACGGTGGTTCGGCTGAGCTCTGGAGGCCGCTACGCACCTGGGTTTCCTCTCATTGAGCCCGATTCTGCCTCCAACTGGTATTGGTTCCCTGCTTTCTGTTCGGTGGCTGCCGTGTAAGGCCCAGCAGTGATCAATCGAGTGATTCGATCTCTTGCAGTGCTCGCACCAGGAATTATTGACCTTTTTGGTCCCCTGCGATGCCTCTTGTCCACGAACAGCCAGGGCCGAGTTCTCCACTGGTGGTTGCTTGGAGTCTCTCCAAGCATAACCCGTCGTCTGCTAGCCTCCCTGCGAACTTCAGCAAAAACTTCATCAATCACCAGGGTTTGCTTCATGCCCAGTAATCTGCCTCGAACGTCGTCTAATTCAAGGACTAACCCAACAAGGAAATCAAAGATTCTCTCATTTTCCACCTGTTTCTTGTACTTCTCGGCATCTTTCGGCGTATCCCAGTCAATCTTGACAAACATGTCAATTTCTCGCCATAGTCGTTGCAGGGAGTTATAATACTACGTGACATCGAGTTCTCCTTGGCATAAATTTCGGGCCTTGTTTCGGAGCTCAAACAATTGAGCAGAATTTTCCAGTTCAGAAAAGTGCGTCCCAAAGCTCCTTTGCAGTCGACTAATACAGGTAAGATTCCCTAATATCTTCTTCCAGTGAATTAACTATCCATGCCATTACCATGGAGTGATGTGCAACCCAGATAGCATAGCCTGGGTCATCCTCCTCTGGCCGTTTTGTAGTTCCAGTAACATACCCAAGGAGCCCACGACCACGAATCACCATTAGGGCAGTCCGAGACCATTGTAGAAAGTTTATGCTATTCAAACGGGTGGTGGTAAGTTGAAGGGAAGTATTTTCAGAGAGGGAGGTTACGGGTAGATAATTTGAAGTGTTGGGGGCACTTGTAGAGATAGGTTCAGAGGATGCTGTGGAGTTCCTTTGAATCCTCATCTCTGTGTGCACCTGTCATGGTTATCTTCTCCATTCCACCTACTCAAATAACCCTAGGCTCTAATACCATGAAACGGGGGAGAGAGGAGTAGAAGTAGAGACAACAATAGAGGAAAGCAATTGTTATTACCTTCAACCGTGTACAACCCTATTTATAGGGATAGAAAACATACCAAGAAAGGTAAAATAAATACTAGATCTCTAACTAAGGAAATAATATATCTATTGTCTATAATAAACAGGTACAAATCAACCACCAAATATTCTGGAATCTTCAACATGATGCAATCCATTCACCCAATTGAATAATAGATACCAAGGTGACCTGCCGATGCAATCCATAAATATGATAAAGCCATGGAAAACCTATAATTCTGGGTTCCATTAAATTGCATGTTCCAGGTTATACCCACAGCCTCAGTGGCCAGTGCATTCACCACCTGACTTTTCTGATTGCCGCAAAATGCATATTGCTATATTTAGAGTCTGTTTGTTTGCCATTTATTTCTCATTTCTAAAATAAATCTTATTGTTGCAGCCTGCAGGGGCAGCATTTTTTGACCAAAATGTGTCATGGTGGGTCCCAGTCGGTTGAAAATAACAGTCAAAATTTTCGTTTTTTGCCAAAAATAATGGCAAACAAACAGGGGCTCAGACATTTAAATAGTTGAAATCATTTTTCTATTTTCTAATATCGTGGAACCAAATATCCAAAAACAGAAAACATTTCTTTTAGTAAATCAAACATAAATTTTCAGAAGGAATTGAACATTTCTCTAGTGTTTCAGTAAAAATAAAAAGTTATCGCATGGTCACAAAAATATTTTGATCACTGGACAAGGTCATTTAAATCTCTGTTCGTTGACAAATATACCAACATGTCATAAAAGTATTAAACACTTTCCCAAAACCTTCACAGACCATTTTTTGATTCATTTGTCTGATAGCACTCCTTTTGGGCCTTACTGCAATTTATTTGTATAATATTCTCCTCATCACATGTCATCTTGGATTTTTAATCTGGAAAGCCAAATTAATCACTGTATTGGCTTGTTTCCTTTACACAATTCAATGACTAATACGATGAACATGAATTGGTTGACTTTTAGCCCTAATAATAATGTCAATATATGGATTAACAATGAAAACCAGATTTTTTTTCCTATACCTGCAGGTGATTCTTCTATTAATGGTATTTCTTCTTCATCATTATTTTCATCATCCACACCATCATCAATAACAGGCTGCTGACTGTCTAGAATCTGCTCCTCAGGGTGAATGTTGATGTCCAAAGCTGCAAACGAGTGGCACGTGTCTGATTAACACCAGATCAACCCATGCCAGCATAAGAATGAGCAGAAGTCTAAGAAAATAAAAAATACAGGCAAAAAGAAAGCATTCGTGGAGTTTGTGAACTCTGGTACAAAAATGATTAATAATTTCAACATATAAAAAAATGAACAATAGAGTACGCACTCAAATATTATCTTCAAATAAACTAAAGTTACGTTTTTAGCATCAAGTATAAGATAAAGGATTTGGAATTGAAATTGGAATCTGAAATAGAAATTTCCATTTTGAACTTAAATTTATTTTTCTACATATTCAATTTCCCTGTTGAAAGATAAAAACTAAAAATTCAATTTTCAAGCAAATACATAGCACAAAATCTAATGACCAACACCCCATGGTTCCTATAATTCAGACTTTTAATACTTTAATAAAGTTTTCTAAGCGATTTCACTTGAATGGCAATTGGCAACAAAGTGGCTTCTAACATATACATTGCTGCAAAAAGATTTAATCAACCACACTCATCATTTAAACAAGCTAAGAAAAATATACTGAATATGCCACTGTTGCCCCTCTCTATCCACTGAAGAGGAAATGAAAATCCGTATTAACACTAGTGTAAACATTTCCTCCCCACTGTAACATTGATTGACATGCCCAAAGAGCTGGCCGGGTAGCCGGAAGCTTTCTTACCCGGTCGAAAGCTGTTTCAGTTGAGGGTACAAAGCGAAAGTGATCTTGTTTATGATTCCTATGATTGCAGCAAAATGCTTTGATTCAAGAGTCGCCACTGCTTATTTTCAGACCTTTGAATGAATCCAGACTATTTTGAAGACCTAAAGCTTTTAGATAAGATGGTTAACATTTAGAACCTCAAAATTAAGTCAACTCTTGCTAGATTTCAAGACCCACTCCTAAATCATCTCTAAATCCAAAAGAACCAAGGTTGAGTAACTTCACTCCATTTCTACATATATATTTTACCCAACAGCTTAATCAGTTAAGATACTCAAAAATACTCTCATTTTCATATCCTACATAGGCATAGGTGCAAACATATGTGCTCAGATTCACCATAACAACAAAAATTAGAACTATAATCAAGAAATAAATATCCAATACATGTTGACTGTACAGTAGACTCGCTCACCATTTTCCTTCTTGGCGATGTCGCCTCTTTGACGCTTGGTCTTGCGTGCCCAGTCGGTGACGGTATTGCAAGCCTGGGACTCGGGTCGGGTCTCGAGCGAATCCGATACTATCTCGATCCGGAGGACCCGGTCTGAGAAGTTGCTGTCGTTAAAGGCAAACGCGAAGTCCGGGTTACGTGAAGCGGTCGGCGACGAATTGTCCGAGTCCATCACTGCCGTTCTCGGGTCAAATAGATCCAGTACCGAATCCCTCATGCTGAATTCTCTCCTACACCCTCTTCTCTCTCTCTCCTAAAAGTATTTATCTGCTGATAAAAAAGAGTCCTATCCTATATATATGAGAGAGAGGGGAGCGTATCCTGGAGTTTTATTACCGTGTAGTGCGTGCTACTGTTCGTACAATTTGGGGTGTCTACAACGATTCTGATATCTATCGGCAAAAATCGGTACATTGATCAATCGGCAAAAATCAAGTTTTAGTAATTTTTGATGATTTATTCAGTTTTAAATTGAACCAAACAAGGACTAAATAAAATTCACGAGTTTGTGACAACAAATTGCACTTTGTTGGAATCGATTGAACTATAATTGACTTTGATTCCACGTCCCATTTATGTTGGAAGTTTTCATGAAAATCTTGTTATGTAAGAGCAGAAGATTAATATCTGTCACATGCACTTCGTTAGAGTTGATAAGCTCATTTGTTGACCAGCAACAACACGAAAACAGAATATTAAAATCGCGTTAAGAAAAATATATTTTTAGTTTTCAACGCGAAAATTACGTCAATTTGTCACATTTTTTGATCAATTTGTCATTGGTCAACCATGGGGAGCGTTGGTTTATTTTCTTTGGTTGTTGGTCTAATCCAACAAGCAACTAGCAGCCATGTTATATTGGTATTCTCAATGATTATGTCAATATGTGATTTTTATAACTGAAAAATTGCAGCCACAAATAGTACTTAAATTAAATAATAAAAATGAAATCCCAAAAAAATATAAATTAAGTAAAAAATTGGTGACCAGGTCCTATTACACTTGGCCTTTTACTAATAAGAAAATAAAAATAAAAATTGAAGTCTTGTATATTTAGAATATATGACTAGTTTAAAATAATAAGGTTATAAATTATTGGGTTTATAAGTTTTAGAGTGACAGTAGAAAGAAAAGTTAAGTTTGATGTGCATGTTTGGCTAAGCTTAAATAATTTACCTTAAAAAAAGCAACTTATGGGTTTTAAGCATAGCCATCATTCAATCAAAGATGCAAATGGCCAGCCCACTTTTCAGAACAAAGCAAACATGTAAACTCAAACTTGTTAAAATGCAGTACATCTCATACAAAAATTAATGCTGCAACAATTTCATTCACATTTAGATGCAAAATTATCTGCCAATTCCCTTTACAATATAGTAAGGAAAGAATATGCATGCAAATTATATACATCCTTTCCTAGTAAAAAATCAAAAAATGGCACAAGTTTTCAGAAGAAAAAAATCTGAATTCAGTATATAAGATTGTATTTGTCGATATTATCTACTCGAAAGAAAAAAAAAATCTGAATTCAGTATCCGTCGGCTACCTCAAAAGCGGGACTGCAACGGCTGTTGAATTCGACTCCGTCTCATCTGGCAGAGGCTTCACATACGTCCCAATTGTTTTTTGATGATGTCGTTTCTTCATCCGTTTAATTTTCTCCCTACTTTGTTGCTTCCTTCTTTCTTTTTCTTGTATTCTTTGGTTCTTCTCTCTCTCGTAGATACCTTGCCAGAAAACCTCGCCTGTTGACGGCCATAACCACCGCCTCTTTGGATGGTCAAGATCCGACTCCTCGGCCAGGTCCTCGTCCATGCTCTTAAGGGTGCTAAATTTGAACCATTTCACCCACATTTGACCTCTCCGGCTTTTGAACTCATGCTGCTCTTGCATAAAACCCGTCTCCGGGTCCACATACACCATTCTTCTTGCACTATGGTACGCCCAAACGTTTACTAGTAACTCAAGCACCCGAGAGTAGCAATGCTTGTCCTGTCAATTAGGTCATAAAGACAAAATACACACATTATGCAACAACTAAATAACACTAAAAATGAAGCGCATAGGCTACAGAGTGAAACTGGATAAAAGTAAGGATTGAGGAAGAAAAATAAGTTAAAAACTAGTTAGTTGTCTTGTAGTGTCTACTACATTTTGGTTAGGCTGCAGTTTGAATGCGTATAAAGGAAGGTCTCAGCAACATTCTTTTAACAGTAGTTTCCGTATTTCTGGCCACACAATAATGTAGGTTCAAAAACTACCTAGAACTAAATGGAAAGTTCGGAACAGAAATACAAGTTACCTTGGATAGACTTAGGTAACAACTCCCACTTTTGTGATGTTCTTCGTAGAATTGAGAATCGAGTGCATCCACAAACATTCTGTAAACGAATATTTTGTTTCTTGTTAACAATTTCATTGGTCCTTTATGGGCCAAAAAATAATATCGGGGATTACATACGAGGTAAAAGAAGTTCGAACCTTGAAAACATAACATATTCTAAGAAGGACCGAGTCGGCAAAACCCAGCAATTCATGACGGACCAAGTGTATTCATCTGTAGGCATAGGTGGAGGAGAACTCAAGTCGTGCTTTATGCCATACATCTTCTTGAGAGTCTCGGAGAACGCAAACCTTGAACCAATCAAACAAAATAAATCAGGTCTGACATTCATCCACGGAAAACTTTAGAATCAATAAAGTGATCACAGGATAGAAGAATAAATCGAAATTACTCTTACCGGCAGTTCCCGGCATTTATAGCATCACAGAACGACCAGAAATCCTGTTCCATTGTAATTCTTGGGTCCTTGTCCAAACGGGCCCAGAAGTAGAGACTATCACCGTATCTGCGAGCTTCAATGGCATCCAATATCGATCTTTCGGCAGTCTTAGACAAAGATTCCTGTTAAACACCCCATGTTAGAAATAAACATAATTTCCAACTGAATGTGAACGTACTTGCACTTTCTTTCACGAATACTAATACGGCAGTTTCTTTGAATTAAATCTAGCAATGAGCCTAAAAAAGATTAATGTAGCCGACTCCAAATTTATTGACAATAAGAATTAGCCGACACCTAATGTCAACTAATGAAAACTCTATGACTGACAGTGATATAGTTCCTAACAAAAATAGGGAGAGCCCTATGAAACTGTAACTAGGTTCCAGGGATGCATAAATTAACCATTGCACGATAAATAGTACAATCAAGAATTCTGTACCTTCCTTGCTGTGACTCTCCAACTCTGGAATCCTATCCAAGCATTTTTGTGTATGCGGTCAATCCGTTTAGCAATTGCGAAAAAAGCTCCATGCTCTCCCAAGACGTGTCGATAATAAGGGTTATTCAATACTGAAAGACGAGAAGGTGCATCAATATCATCAGCTTCAGGTCTCCGACCTTTTGTGGACTACAATCACCCAGTCAATATATCCATGTCAGATTCAATATAGCCAAGTAAAAAATTATTTCCAACTTACCAAGTTCTATGAACACTAAAACTAGATTGGAAGGTTGCTACTAGACAAACTCCACAAATTGATGGCATAAGTTTACAACACACACACGAAGGGAGATTGTATGCTACGAGAACTGCAGGAAACAGGTGTGCCTCACATGACTAGAAAATATTATACAGTTTTACAAGTTATAAAATAAAATAAATACTATATCAGAGCCAAAAAAGTCGATGTATACAATATAAAATCAGAGCAGTTCATCATGTTAGCAAAAAATAAACCAACAAAACAACCGCTTTGCAGAAAATATAGAAATTCTGATAATGATATAGAACACCCACCAGTCCAAGTCCACGATATAGTGAACTTTGATGCAAAAATGGCCATGTTCCCTCTCCAAAATAAGGTTCATAAATACATAATGGTTGACCTGTCCTCTCAAGCTCTCCTTCGTCTCTTTCGTGCAATTCATTCTTAGTCCAATCAATCCTTCTGGCCTTTCGATATACATCATCCCAGATTCCCCGAGGTTGATCAGTTCTATCCTTTAACTGTATTAAATTACCAAAAGAAAAGAAAAAGGGAGTAGGAGAAGAAATTCCCACATGGTTAGTTGTCTATATTCTACCCGTTAAGTTTTAAGGAAAAAAGAAACAAAAATCAACAACACTTGCCTCTGCTTCTTCCATTCTTTTCCTCTTGTTAGCCATATCAATATACTTTTGGTCCTCCCATATGCTATACAAAAGAGTATCATTTGTGTCAATTGGAGCCATTTTGCTCTCCTTATGGGCACGATTCAATTCCTTTTCAATTTTGTCCAAATATTTATCGTTCTTCAATGTCTCATTCTGAGAATATCTATTTGCAATTGCTTTGAAAAGATGCCACTGCCATTCTACTTTCAAGTTTGTAGGAATCTCTGTGGCATTCCTAGAAGTAGCAACTTCAGACGGGAAAGCAAGAATGTTTTCCAGTAGAGAAGCATACCCTTCTACACTCTCTGAAACCATTAGGTTCTTAGCTGTATGGTTTCCGATTGTCGACGCAGTGACAGCCAGAGGAGACAGCTTTCTATTTGAGATAATTCGAAACATGATCTTTGTCAGGACGTTAACATTCTCCTTCGGAAAAAGATAGCCATTCACCCGGTCATCAACCTATAAATTGTTGCCAATCCAATTAGTAGGTAATTTTGAAGCCAAAAAATGTAGTATACAAGAAAATTCATGCATTTGTGATGTCATCCAGTGATAAGAGCTAAAAAAGGAGGGCAAGAAAATCATGCATGCCTCAAGATTTTTTTATTGGTTAATGTTGAAAAAAAAAAATTAGTTTTTGGCTTACAGTTCTTTAAAAATAACTTCTTTTTCGTAAAAGCAAGAAAAAATAATATATCCAGCTAAGTTTGAGCTAACACGAGCTACGCCTAAACCTATTCATGAACAGCTTGATTACGTCACCAATGCTGTTTAGCATGTCGGTAGTTACAAGCATGTTGTTAGAAAATATATAGTAAAGGTACCTACATATTTCCTGATCATTGAAAGATCTGGGGCCACTATAGTTTTCCCAAAGCACATGGCTTTTAGCAAAATGTCGGGAAAAAATTGCTCTTCGAGGAAGGACCCATAAATCACAAGATCAACAGTATTCAGTACATTTTCTGTATTGTCATCAACAGCAACACGCTTCACTGTTCCGTATGGGTATCTCAAGTTTAGTGCAATAGTCTGTCACAAATGTTCCGTACATAAGAAAATAAGGAATAAAGCATAATAAACAAATGCACTTTATAGCATTTTATGATATACGATTGAAAATCTAGGAAACCAAAATGCATGCTGTACCTCCACAACCCGGGTGTAGTTGCTAGTTGCGTCACCAGCTAAGATGACGATTTTTAGACTGGAATTCAAATTGGCACCACTTGAAAAGTCCACAAAAACTGGATATAAAGCCTGTAAAATGAGGGCATGCTCCAGCCAAAGACCTTTATACAAAAGCTGACTACCCACAACAGCAACAACAAGATCATCAAGTCCGTACTCTGTCATTAGACGTGGATTATCATTGTGTGAAGCCATAAAACTATCAGCTTCCAAAACCTCTGCAGGGGAACCCGGAATGACGAAGTAGTTTCCAGTATCACATGCTGAATAAGTCATCTAAAAGATGTAAAAACACAGGGCACTGGCTTTCAGGATAGCTCCATTAAGTCATCAATGACATTTAACACTCTGATTTTAGTAAATCTTCCAAAGATAATTTCTGATTTCAATCGAATCAGAACATGAATGAGAGGGAAATACTCTGTTGAAGACTATTTAAATGAACAAAATTGTGACTTCTCTTACAACTTTATCTTTTAGATGAGATGGTTAAACTGAGGAAGAGATCAACCTATGGTTCTAGGCTCAGGTCTTGCAGCCACCGACACAAAAGATTGGGCATTAGCAAGCCTTTGATCAAATAATGGATGTGTTATGTTTGTGAGTGGGCACATTGAAGACAAAAATTATTTGATTCCCTGCCTAACAACTTAAGCTTTTAGAGAAAGATGTTCAACAAACTCTAAAACATGGAGGGGGAGGGTGGTAGACTCCGAAATTTTCTCCATTTTCTGTTTTCTGCTTCTTGTTTAATGAGTATAAAATCAAATGCACACTCCCAATTAGATGAAATTGCAAACCAACCTGAAGACAAATTGGCACATCATGTAAATAAACTAGAGACACAAACATAAATAAAATGGAATGAACACGGACAGACATACACATGGGGGGGGCATACATTGGTCTACTAACTTACCGGCATAAAAATGTTTGGGAAGACAACAACAGTGGCGTGGCTGAATACTTTTCTCCAATTATCGACAAGCTCTATTTTTCCACTTGAATTATGCTGTCTCAATCTAGTAGCAAGGGCTTGTTCATGAATGGTCCAAATGAGAGGTATATTTTTGAATGGTTCCTGCATAAGACTGTAACAAATAAAACCTTTCATTTTATTAGAAAGGCAGTCAATAGTAAAAAACTGTCGTAGACAGAAAAGAACAAAGAAAAAAAGAAACAGTCTCTACAGAACCTAACAAAAAACCAGTAATAGAAAAAATCTGACTCCGTTATTACGTGAATCCTTGTGGGGTTTAATGGGTCGACAGATTGTGTGACATAACATTTTGATAGCACCCAAATTTCCCTTTGATAGAGGAAACGAATTTTGGGTGATTAATAAATTTCTGTTGTTTGTTGAAGTGTAGAACAAAAGGACGATTCTTACCAAGTTACAAAACTAGCAGCCCCAACAGAATTCACAAGTACGCCTTGGTAGCTGCAAGGAGCATACACAAAAATTAAAAGAAATTTCAAGTCATTTTTACTCTTCTTTTCTCAAGTCTCGGTTTACTGTTTTCCAGCAATAAACCGCTCTTACCCATCTAATTTTCAAATATTTAACAAGTCACTGGAGAAAAGAGTCATATCGAGTACAGAGTACAACAGATTAAATACTATAAAAATTCTCGGTTCTCGACTATGAATTTCATCACTTATGATAAATTAGGGATGATCTGCATACTTTAACCAATCTACACTGAGCTTCCTGTTCTCATCAGTTGCCATGATTTTGAGAGGAAATCCTATCTCTCTCCAAACACCGTGAACGGGACCATCTTCCAGTGAGAATACCTGCAAATATCAAAAGATTAGTAAACCTAGGAAGTGATGCTAAAGAAGTGTGCATAAAAGCAAGAATACAAAGCTAAACAATATCTATAGTCTCAGATAGTTTGAATGCCAATAACCTTGATGTCTTAAAAAAGATAATCACCTAGACAAATTTCTCCAACATACAAACAGAATATTGATGTTCATCATGCCGAGAATAGATAAAATAACGTGTAGTGAAAATGAATAGTCAAGAAAATTACCTCAATTTCATATCCAATGGTCCGCAATGCACTTGCAACAGTAACCATCAGTATCTGGTAAGGGTCAACCGACAGATCCGCAAAAACCTACAAGCATAAATAAAGTTGAAAATCCCAACTCCCAATTTTGAAAATGCTGCTCCTACAATCTACTCACATAAATATTCCAAGAAAAAGAAAAACACTGAACCACGCAAAATAACACAATTGAATATTAATCCTAACACCCAAATTTGAAAATGCTGCTCCTACAATCTAATTGCATAAATATTCCAAGAAAAAAAGAACACGATATTTACCAGTGCAAGCTTGGGATTTCTGTATCCAAATCTCACTACATTTCTTGAACCAATAGTCATAATGTCCTCTTTTTGAAACTTGGCCAAGATTTTTGAATTGTCAAACTTTATATCGTCACCAAAATCCAGCTCTTTCAAGAATGCAAATTCTTCAGAAAACCCTCCAAGATTCTCCTTAATGAAATTGTAATTCTTCAACTTATCTCCTTCTCTTACCGAACCAGGCAAGAAAAGCATCTGGAAGAGGAAAATAAAGAAGAACATGGTAGATACTATGCAAATCCATCGTAAATAGTTAATCCTCTGCAAAAACACCAGCCTTGCAAATCTTGATCTGAGCCTTGGCCAAAAACCCAAAACTCCACCGACATTGTAATTCCTCACTGATGAAAAAAGCACCGTACGGTGATCTCTCTTCAATGGCGTCGCACCATCAAGTGAACCCATTTACACTCCCCACAAGAAATAGTATATTCTAATCTACTTGTACATTGCTGTATCTTTATTAATTACAGTGGCTCAAAATGTATAAGAAAGTAAGATTTTTTTGCTAATGAAAAGTGTGGTGTTGTGTGATGCTGGAAGTATTTTACCGGAGAGTGTTGTGTTTTCGTACTGATTTTATCATTTTGGTATTAAAGAATCAATAAGATGCTTGTGAGTAAAAAAGAAGAGAAAGGGATGGAAAGAGAAAGGAAGAGAAAACAGCTGTAGAGAGATGAAAAAAAAAATTCAGATTAAGGCCATGCGGCTATTTTCTTGATGTGGGGCAATAGTCGTCATATTGTCAACGATATACACGTATATATGTATGTACAGGATGAGAGAGAAAGGATATTGTATGTATAGGATGAGAGAGAGAGAACCGGAATCTAAAGAGATCCCTGGTTTATTGAGGGGTGGTCTGTCGGTTCAGTGGATTAGAAGGCTAATTACCTTTATTGACCTTGTTAACCACTTCTTCTTCTTTTTTATTATTTTTTTTTTCATTTACCATGCAAAACATCACAAATATATTAACTTTTTCTTTTTATTTTTTAAAGACAAACAAATATATTTACTTTAACTTTCATATATTTTTTTTAATTTTATAGTTGAGTCCTATATTTATAATTTCGCCATTACCTTAGGTCGCATTCAAAGTCTATTTTGAGTTAAAATCAATTCGACAATGACATTTCAATATAGTTAAGTCCTATATTTATAATAAATGTATGTATCAAATATACAAAATACCAATATATTATTGTTATCGTACTTTGACTAGGTTTATTGGTAACTTTTAGGAAAACAAATATTAGATTTCACGAAATATGTGGATAATAAATGAGTAATAGTCTATATTTCGTGTAGTTAAAATCAAAATTTTAATATATTTTGATAAATGTTTATAAAATATGTGAATGAAAATTATGAATCCCACAAAATGTGTTATTAAAATTAATTATTAATTTTTATTTAGGTTTTTATCGAGATTTTAATCACACCAAACAGGAACTTAATTTTAAATATGTGTTTAAAATTAACGCTTAACTTTCAAAAAATAAAAATAAAAAAAAACTTATAATCTACTTTCACTAAAAGATGAAAAATAGCATTAGGGTGTGTTTCAGCGACATTATTTTGGAAGAATATATTTTTTAATAATAGATTGATGGAGAATGTGTGATTGAAAAAGAAGGAAAAGAATTGTTGTGATGAAAAATATTATTTTATTGAAAAATGTGTGGTTGAAAAATTTTAACGAGCCTCAAACAGCAGTTTAACTTGTATGTACGAAAAGTTCATATAATTCTTGTCAAATAAGCAAACCAAAATGGAGGAAAATAGACATCTACTCAATAGCAAATGAGTATTCTTTTTCTTCAAAATATGTTTTCTTATGATTTGAACATTCGCCAACTTTGAATTGAAAATCGATTTCAACACTATCTAATAATTTTTTTATCAATTATCCTAGGTGGTTTAGTGGCAATTGTCGTAGGATTTACTCTTCTTAATTATAATTTAATACTATCTAATCTTTTTAATATCCTCGATGGCTCTATGCCATTGCCATGGGATTTACTTTTCTTTTGTTACGATTTAATACTATCTTATCTTTTTAATATCCTCGATGGCTCTATGCCATTGCCATGGGATTTACTTTTCTTTTGTTACGATTTAATACTACTAATCATTTTTACCAAATATCATCGGTGGCTCCATGCCAATTGCTATGTAATTTACTTTTATTTATTACGTTTTAATACTATTCAATCATCCTTACTAAATATTCTTGGCGGTTCAATGCCAACGAACATAACATTTACTTTTCTATATTTATTATGATATAATATTAACCAATCATCTTTACCAAATATCCTCGATGGCTCTGTGCCAACTGCCATTGGATTTACTTTTCTTTATCGTAGTTTACTAGTGTCTAATAATCTTTTCGAAAATATTCCGAGTGGTTCCATGCCAATTACCATAACATTATTAACTTTTTACTTTTAAAGATCAACGTTCTCCTCGAGTCGAAGAATATTCGTCCTTCAAATCTTGTATCTTGTCTCACTTGAAGCTTTATAATGGCAATCTAACATGTAAGTAATGTAATGTCCCGGATTTTATATTCTTAATTTGGTTAATGTAGCCCTTTAAGAAACGAACTATGGAAGCTCGACCCCATTTAAAGTTATGAAAATACAAGCCATAAGTTATTTATAAGTACAATAATTTAAGACATTAAGTTTAAATAAATGTGATTATAAAAATTTAATGAATAATTGAGTTGCCACAATGGTCATCTGCATAGTATTTCATATAGACAACCCAAGTTCGAATAATCATGCAGATGTTTTTATAAAGTATTTTATAAAATTATTTTTGAAAAAAAGAATAATANAAAAAATAATAAACTCCTTATTGTTGCACATTAAGAACAATTATACAAAGTTAATTGGATGAAATAATTGTTTTATTAGTGAGCATTCATCGAGATAAGTTACAATCATATGAATAGTTCATTTCTTAATTTTTTTTATCATGTAATTGTTTCATAAAACTTTTTATACGAATTATTTTTTAATGTGCTTAAAACTCTTTAAATTCCTAGTGAAAGATTCAATTCAACAAGATTAATGATAATATAACTCTCTCATTTAGTTTTTCATTAAAAATAGAGGTTACAAAAAGAGGAAAATCATTTTTTAACTACACCTCCCTTCAAATCCGAAAATTACTCTGATTTTCTCAAAAAAAAAAAAAAAATCTTTATGTTAAGTAAAACTTAAAAGAATAGTAAGGATGTGAAGGAGAAAGTGCACGCCTTGATCAAGGAAAGAGATTTTCAAAAGAAAGAAAAACATAGGAGATGAGTAGATTTCTCAAAGTTTCGGGTGCCGTTGGGAAACAATATTCACTGTCCAAATTCATCCATTTCAAAGTTTCAAATTAAGGTAGGTAAATGTGCAAATGTATATTTCGTTTTCAAATTATGAT